CTTGGGTCAGGACACCACAGGGATTCCTATTGATTATATGATGTATATGCATAATACATGTTGGATCTTAAAAAGAGGGATTTACTGCTAATTCTACAGTGACATGACAAATAACATTAAATGTGAGATTTAGGTTGCTCATTTAAGATCTGACTAGTTTATAAATGTACATTGTCTGTTATCAGGCAAAGAATTAATAAAATATCACATTTAATGATGTGTTTAATAAACCTAGCAAAAGTTGTGTCACTAGCTAATATTATCTTTCTGCTAGCTGGGACTAATTTAGCTTCATTTAGACATTTGGACCACACTATGTTGCTAATGCTATCATGCCTACAATGTCTATGATTTTTATCAGATACTGAGAAACAAGTTATGATAAATACTATCAATACTATCCATATAAATATACTAATATAAGGTTCTCTATTGTTATAATGCTAAAGCATTAGCTTTGAGGCCAACAAGGACCCTGCATGTAAAGGGTGTGCTGCCTTGTCATGTCAAATTCAAAAGTTTTTGCTTCCATAATTTGCTTTTATTTCAAATATTAGCATTTTCAATAAAAAGTTTTGAACGCTGTGCAACCTTATGCACAGTGCGGGCACTAAAATGCCAACATGCATGAAGTTGCACAGTGTCCAGTTGAAAAAGATCAACAAATCTGGTCTGAAAGTGTTGCCACAGCAATAAACACTATTGCCACAAGACCGCCACATCAGAGCGGACGTCAGGTTCGCTTTCGCTGAACCCGAACGTGATTGCATCAGGCGGCCATCTTGTTAGCACCACGCTAGTGTGTGAGATTGAGGCTGTCAGGGACACTATAGTCAAACTCCTCATTAGAGAGCGGTCAATCCACCAAGACGGTCACCCACCCACTGCTGGGGGGACATGTTCAGGCTGAGGTTTTACAGGCCGAACGTTAATAAAACTGACATTGCTCTGAGGGGTCAGACGTTTCCAGCTGGTTCTAATCAGCCCTTAGTCTTCCGTTCTAATTAGAGCGCTGTTCTCTTATTCCATTACTGCCGAGCACCGAGGAGGAATCCACGCGGCTGTGTACACAGCAGGAAATGCGTTTTAAGATTGAAGATTGGAGAGACTGGGGAAGCAAATAAAGACTCATGTGTGTCAGAAGTGTGATCTCATTAAGAGGTAATTGCCTCAAGCAGCACGTCCACGAATAAGCGAAGTAATGAGCAATTACAAATCAGCGTTTCTCTCGCAGCTTTCAAACAACCAGCTTCGCTCTGCTGCTTTTATATAATATGTGTTGACATGGCCTGAGCTGTGATGAAGTACACGATACTAGAAAATGTACCTACAGTAATTCAGCACAGAGGAAGCATCATGAATTAACATGCAGGGTCTTGCAAGGTCTTTCCTAATCTGGGCACATTTGTGAACTTGCTGATACATTTCAATCCCATATCATTGAAAACTGGATTTTTCTCGCTTTTTCCAATGATGAGTTTTACCTACTATGTAAATATCGTTATTTTTCAAAACCTATAATTTACTCCCCAGTCTATTCAGGACATATATGGAAAATAACCTGGCAAAAAACATCAACTATGGATGCAGTTACATATGATTACCCATTTCAGCCTACAGCAGTTTAGCCCCGCCCATTCATTTACAGCATCTCAGGCTTAATGTCATTTGGTCTCGGTCTTATCTCGGTCTCAATGTCATTTGGTCTTGGTCTTATCTTGGTCTCAGTCTCAATGTCATTTAGTCTCGGTCTTATCTCGGTCTTGATGTCATTTGCTCTTGGGCTTATCTCAGTCTCAATGTCATTTGGCCTCGGTCTTACCTTGGACTCAGTGTCCGTTGATCTTGGTCATATCTCTGTCTCAATGTCATTTGGCCTCGGTCTTATCTCGGCCTCCATGTCATTTGGCCTCTGTTTTATCTCAGTCTCGATGTCATTTGGTCTTGGTCTTATCTTGGTCTTGATGTGATTTGGTCTCTGTCTTATTTTGGTTTCAATGTTATCTGGTCTTGTTCTTATCTCTGTCTCAATGTCATTTGGTCTTGGTCTTGTCTCAGTGTAGATATCCCTACATCACCTACATCATTTTGATCCTGTCTTGTCTCTGTCTCAACATTAATCGGTCTCGATTTTGTTTTGGTCTCAGTGTCATTTGGACTTGGTCTTGTCTCGGTCTCAACATCATTTGGTCTCATTTTAAACCCCATCCTTTTAGTCTACATCAGTCTAGGCCTGCCCATTAAGTCTACAGCTGTTTAGCACCACCTATTTATGTCTACAACAGTTTAACCATTTATCCACGCACATTCAGCCTACAGCAGTTTAGCCCCGCCCACTCACCCTATACCAGCTTGGCCACATCCACTCCGCCTATAGCAGTTTAGCCCCACCTCATTCAGCTAACAGCAGTTTAACCCCAAACCTATTCAGCCTACAGCACTTCAGCCACACCCACTCAGCCAACAGCAGTTTACATTTTCCCTTTCAGTCTGTAGCACTTTAGCCCCGCCCACTCCGGTTGGCTGACAGTCTGTATCAAAGTTATTAGAGTGGAAGATGTGGGAAAAATGATTAAACGTTGCTCTGTTCAGCTAAAAATGATGAATAAGGGCTCTTTTAAAAGTACCTGAAAACGCAACGTCACTTTCATTTTAGCCACATTTTTATCTGCTGATGAAGCGTATTCTGAGGCCCAGCAGACTTCTCCTTTTCTGCCACGAGTGCACCTGTAGAAAATTTTCAGCAGAAAGCAACAGCGGAGCGGCCGACATGAAGCCTGCCATGTCTCGGTCCGCTCTAGTGGCTCAGACATGCTTTATCCTCCTGCCTCCCTCAGCTAGTCTTTATTCTGCCCCCTTGAGTTTCACTCAGACTACAGGAATTTGGCTTCGCAATCCAGCTACAACATTTCCTCTCTCGCACACCCACATTCAAAGGCCATGAGGGAAATAACTACATGTTTCTAGGTAAAAAAAAAAGTCTCTTCCTTCTTTAAGCCTAGATTTTATTAGAGACATCGAGCTTCACGTAAGCAATGTGGACCATTTCCTTCATCAGTCTATGACGTACATTTGTCAAAAAGACAAAAGAACTGATTTGTCTGGCTGGGTTGTTGCTCTGTTTGTGTACAGATCTGTTTTTATTTACCATCTTTACTAGTGATCTATAGATCTATATTAACACAGTAAAAAATAAACTGATATTTACATTTACGTTTTGGAGTTTTCTTCAATAATTTTCATGGAATTCAAATGTGTATAATTTACAAAACTGGGAGCTGGATTTTCATCGTGGTGACAGAGCAAGTCAACATTTATAAATGTGACGGTCTCGATGTCATTTGGTCTCAGCCTAATCTCGGACTAAATATCATTTGGTCTCAGTCTTATCTCGGGCTCGATGTCATTTGGTCTCAATCTCAAAGTCACTTGGTCTTGGTCTTGTCTTGGCCTCAGTGTAATTTAGTCTTACCACAGTCTTGATGTCATTTGGTCTCAGTCTTATCCCAGACTCAGTGTCATTTGGTCTCAGTCTCAGTGTCACTTGGTCTCGATGTCATTTGGTCTCAGTCTCAACGTCATTTGGTCTCAGTCTTATCATGGACTTGATGTCATTTGGTCTCAGTCTTATCTTGGACTCAAGGTCATTTGGTCTCAGTCTCAATATAATTTGGTCTCAGTCTTATCTTGGACTCGATGTCATTTGGCCTCAGTCTAAATGTCACTTGGTCTTGGTCTCAGCATCATTTGGCTTTAGTCTTACCACAGTCTTGATGTCATTTGGTCTCAGTCTTATCTTGGACTCAATGTCATTTGGTCTCAGTCTTATCTCGTGCTCAATGTCACTTGGTCTTATCTCAGTTTCAGTGTAACTTGGTCTCGGTCCTATCTTGGTCTTGACATCATTTGGTCTCATTTTGGTCTCAATGTTATTTAATCTTGTTCTTATCTTGGTCTCAATGTCATTGTTTTAGTCTCAATGTCATTTGCTCTTGGTCTTGTCTCGATCTCAATATCATTTGAACTTGGTCTTATCTTGGGCTCGATGTCATTTGGTCTCAAACTCAAAGTCACTTGGTCTTGGTCTTATCTTGGCCTCAGTGTAATTTGGCTTTAGTCTTACCACAGTCTTGATGTCATTTGGTCTCAATGTCATTTGGTCTCAGTCTTATCATGGACTTGATGTCATTTGGTCTCAGTCTTATCTTGGACTCAATATCATTTGGTCTCAGTCTCAATATAATTTGGTCTCAGTCTTATCTTGGACTCGATGTCATTTGGCCTCAGTCTAAATGTCACTTGGTCTTGGTCTCAAAATCATTTGAACTTGGTCTTGTCTCAGTCTTGATATCATTTCCAAACTGTTTTATCTCAGTCTCTGCCATTTTCACTCTGTCTTGGTCTCAATATTATTTTGACTCTGTCTTGTTTCTGTCTCGGGGTATAGTGGATTGTTCTTAAGACCATCCGAGTGCAATGCTTCCATCATAACTGATTATGAACAAAACCTCCAAACACAAAAATCAGTCCTTTCTCTACATGTTCAAACAAATCTTTTCATTACTATGTTATATGTTTTAATAATAAAAATGGATTTCTATTGTTTGGTTTATACTCAGGTGACTTTAGATGGTGATACTGAATAAGATTTGGAGAAGTATTTGACTCAGATTCGCATCTAATGGTCATGACTCTGACACCAGTAACCTGTATATTATAGATTGTTTGATATGATTTGTACCTTCTACTTTATTTTCACACTGGGGGGGTTCTCACCCCTCCCCTTTCACCCCTCATTGCTCACTAGCAGCTCAACACAGTCACAACACTTCACACACACAGAGGCAAAAGTGTCCTAGTTGATCTGAACGCAGAGTTATGGGGGGAAATGTTTTATGTAATAATCTTATTAAACATACCTGAGTTGATTTCCATTTTGCCAGCGGAATGGCCACTAGGGGGTCTTCGGAGGGATAAATTTGTGTCTGTGAACCGCTCACCTCTGTGTGTTGGGCGTGGTGGGGATCCTCCAGCCCTTTATCTGACTGAGTTCCGTGTCGGACAGCTCGATGTGCAGCGGCAGGCGGGGCAGCCACACCTTCAGCTCCAGCTGAGCCCCAACACTGCTGAAGGTAAAGTTCACCATCATCCGCACCCGGCCCTTCATCTCCTTCCCGTTCACATACACGTAATCACACCTGTCGGACACCTGAGAGAGAGAGAGAGAGAGAGGTAGAGAGAGAGAGAGAGAGATTATATGGCTCCACTTACTTTGAACCTACACTTGTTGGCCATTTTATCAGAAACGCCCACCATACAGGTGCACTTTGCAGCCCATCTGTTACTGCACAACTTACCAGCCCCGCTTTGGACTCGGTTCCAAATAGAGATGTTCAAATTCATCTGTACCCACATTCAGAGTGTGAGACAATCTGCTGTCTCTGTCTAGACAGTCTGAAATATGCTCCCATCCACAGACGTCAATAGACTGGTTGTATTTTAGTTTCCACAAAGAAAAAAATCAAAGCAAAATGTAAAATATGTGACAAAAAATCTATGACAAAAACAAAAGCCTCACAGTCGCGCTTTGCTTTGCTGGTGGTGCTGCACTGCTTCTGCACAGGGGGTTCAGAAGGGTTCTTTAGTAAAGAAAATGGTTGCATTTGCATGATCAAAGTGTTCTTTAGATCAAGAACGAGTATTTCAGATTTACAGAAAATGTGCTATAGAGGGTTCTATAAAGAACCTTTTTTCAAAATGTGTTCTGTATAGCACTAAAAAGTGTTCTGCTATTGTATCAATGGAAGAACCTTTGTAGGTGGTATATAGAAACATTTTCAAAAAAGGTTCTATATAAGGCCATAACCACTTAAAGAACACTTTGCATTATTAAAAGGTTCTTTTCATTGAGAAAGAGTTCTTCAGAGTCACAGAGAATGTGCTGTAGATGGTTCTATATAGAACAAAAAAGTGTTCTGTTATTGTTACAGTGTTAAGCTTGTATCAATAGAAGAACCTTTTTAGGCACAATATACAACCCTTTCTAAAAAAGGTTCTATATAGGACCATAACCACTCAAAGAGCCCTTTGCATTATTAAAAGGTTCTTTGCATCGAGAACGAGTATTTCAGATTCATGGAAAATGGGCTCTAGAGGGTTCTATATAGAACCTTTTTCAAAAAGTGTTCGGCATAGCACTAAAAAGAGTTCTGCTATTAGTATGATGTTAAGCTTGTATCAATAGAAGAACCTTTTTAGGTGCTATATACAAACCTTTTCAAAAAAGGTTCTATATAGGACCATAACCACTCAAAGAACCCTTTGCATGATTAAAAGGTTCTCTGCATCGAGAACGAGTATTTCAGATTCATAGAAAATGGGCTGTAGAAGGTTCTAAAAAAAATAAATAAATAAAACGGTTCTATGTAGCACCAAAAAGGGTTCTGCTATTGCTATGATGTCAAGCTTGTATCAATAGAAGAACCTATTTAGGTGCTATATAGAAACCTTGTCAAAAAGTTCTATATAGACCATTAACACTCAAAGAGCCCTATGTATAATTAAAGGGTTCTTTGCATCAAGAACGAGTTGCTCAGATTGATGCAGAACGTGCTGTCGATTTTTTTGAAAACGGTTCTATATAGCACCAAAAAAGGGTTCTGCTATTGTTACGATATCAAGCTTGTATCAGAAGAAAACCCCTTTTTTGTTCACACTTAAACGAATCCTGTTTAATTCCAGTTCATTTCCCATGTAAGCGTGACGTGTGAAACAGGATCGTGTCTTGATTTTTGGATTAAAAATCCAGATCTAATAGACTGACTGATAAGATGTAATAGGGGTTGGAGTAGGTTGTAGTTTGATCTCCTCTCGGATGGGAAACGTTCCCTCTTTTCTTCCCTCAAAACAATGCAGGCTGACCTACAGCAGGTCAGCACCCCATCATTTCTCTATCCCTCTTTCTTTCTCTCTCTTTAGACTTTCCATTGTCTCTGAAAAACAGTTAAAAGCAGCCCTGGAGCCGGTGGGTGTTTACCTCCAACGGCAAAAGGAGGACAGCAACGGAGAGAGTGATGATCACAACAGAGATGAAGGGTATCCCCGAGTGTGTGTGTGTGTGTGTGTGTGTGTGTTTTTGTACTTTTTCGGGACAAAAATACTCCTGACTCTGTAGCAGAACCAGAGAAAAACAGTTCTAACCTACAGAACCGACAAAATACTCCTGACTTTGTAGCAGAACCAGAGAAAAACAGTTTTAACCTATGGAACCGACAAAATACTCCTGACTTTGTAGCAGAACCAGAGAAAAACACAGTTCTAACCTACAGAACCAACAAAATACTCCTGACTTTGTAGTAGAACCAGAAAAAAACAGTTCTAAGCTACAGAACCAACAAAATACTCCTGACTTTGTAGCAGAACCAGAGAAAAACAGTTCTAACCTACAGAACCAACAAAATACTCCTGACTTTGTAGCAGAACCAGAGAAAAACAGTTTTAACCTATTTTTCTGTAGCTTTCTAATCTCTAATCCTGTGAGGGTTTTGATTGGAAATGCTGTTCTGTATATGATACATATGTGACACACACTGCATACTGTTTATGTCTTGGCATTGTAGAAAAAGCAACGTCTGCTAAATGCTAAAAGACACGTCACCAGATGGCGTTTAGAGACGACTGTGAGTCTAATGACGGGCAAACGCACCCAGAGCCAGACGGAAGGGCCACTTCCTCCATTTAGCACAGGGTTAACAGGCTGAACCCCGAAGCATCTGCTGCATGAACGCTTCATCTCCCGCCTCTCTTTATACAAGGCATGTATGACTGTGATGAGATTTACAATGCAGACACAAAGCGCATCCAAAAATATTCAGACACCCCTTTAATGAAATAATTGGACAGCACAAGCCTTTACGGCTGATCCAAAACATTTCTGCTGTTTAGTCTGGGGGAATTCCACTGATTTCTACTGCTGAAAGTCATTCAGAGTGGTCTGGTGTGAAATGGTTCAGATGTGTACAGTGGTGCTGATGGGAACCAGGGGTCACCATGACTACAACACAAATATAGCCACTTTATTTACTATCCAAAACCACCAGTGAAGCTATTCGCAGCTTCTGAGGTTTATATGTAACGTTGATGATGGTAAAATAGTGGAAAATATCTGTGAGGGAGTTTTTGAAGGCATTAAACTTTCTAAACACTGTATACTGTAACCAGTCACTCTTAACAGAACTGTCTGTGTGTTTCTTTGCCGAGTTGAACAGCTGACCATCCTGTGGGTCTGATGCTGTTGCCTTATCTGCCTTGATCGGGTACCCACTGCTCGCCAGCCCTCTCGACCAGTCTGACCACCATGGAGCTTCCTGCTGTACAACACTGTGAAAACCTCACCTGTATGAACTGACTCCTGATGATACTGTAATAAACATATTATAATCATATACATTGCTACTCCTGCTTATCCCCGTTTTCCATATCTATACTAATGATCGAATCTCATTTTCTGCTATTATTGTTTTGCTATCTGGTGTCGACCAGAGGAGGATGGATTCCCTTTTTGAGTCTTGGTTTCTCTCCAGGTTTCTTTTTCTTACTTTTAGGGAGTTTTTCCTGCCACTGTCACCGTTGGCGACGCTCATGGGGGGTCGGACCCGGATTTTTCTGTAAAGCAGCTTTGTGACGACGCCTGTTGTAAAAGCGCTATATAAATAAACTTTGACTTGACTTAAACTGTTCAGACGTCTGGTTCCCATCAACACCACTGTGAACCATTCAGACTCCAAAAGTCATTCATTTTCATTTTTTCTACACAGGTAGGTGAAGGAAGTGTTAGGAGTCTTGCCCAAGGACTCTTATTGGTATAGTGTAGGGTGCTTACCCAGGCAGGGGACTGAACCCCAGTTTACAGCATAGGGGGCAGTGGTGTTACCCACCACACCATACCAACCACTAAGCTTCTCTAGAATGGGGCACTTCACACCAAACCACTCCGAATGACTTTGTTTACAGCTTAAATACATAACTGAACCAATATTTTATAAATGATGTGATGCTGTCCTTGAATTTTTATTTCATTTGTACATTAATGAGGAAGAAACCCCAAGAATAGGAATGTAAGTTACATATTAGTATCTCTATGCAGCTGTTCAGTGTTCTGCTTCAGTGAAACAGCATTAAGAAAACCCATCATATATATGATCACGCTGTGCCATAATTTATCACAATAACACTGACATATCGTCACATCGCCCACCCCTGCAGCACTGCTGTGAGGAACAGGGAGAGGCAGCTGGGTTGGGTTTGAATGATAACACACACCTCCATTCACATTTCATACAAGTCCAATAAATCCTTTTACGTTGTAATATTTCAATCTGAAAACTCATTCAGTTTCATTTGTACCAGTTTGGGGGTTTAATGCGACACAGGCCTCCGTCATTAGCGCTGCCCGAGTCTCAGAGCCTCGGCGCCGAGGCTGATCAGCTGCCTTTACACTTTTATAGACTGATATAAAAGAAACAACACGGCCATTTATCAGCTGAACGCCAAGGACGGAGAGAACGAGCCTCATTCAGCGCAGCTCATCCACACACAGCACGGACTCTCTCCTCTCTCTCTCTCTCTCTCAGCCTCTTTTCTTTCTTTCTGTCTCTTTCACCCTCTCATCCTTCCTTTTTCTTCCTCTCTTCACTCTCTCCCTCTTTCTCTCTTTTCTCTCACTCTCTCTCTGTATACCTTTCTTTCTGACGCTCTCTACCCCTCTTACTCTCTCTCTCTTTGTCTCTCTCTCCTTTCTCAGCCTTTTTTTCTTTCTCTGTATTTCAACCTCTCCTCCTTCCTTTTTCTTTTTCTCCACTCTCCTTATCTCTCTATACCTCTCTTTCTCACCCTCTCTACCTTACATTCTCTCTTCTCTCTACCCCTTCTCTGTCTCTCGTTCTCTCTCTCTCTCCTCTGTCTGTTTTCTCTCTCATTCTCCACTCTCTTTTTCTCTCTCTCCCTTCTTTATCTTATTCTTTTCCTTTTTGCCCTCTTTCCCTCAGTCTGCTCTCTCTCTCTTTTCTCAGCCTTTTTTCTTTCTTTCTTTATATTTCACCCTCTCATCCTTCCTTTTTCTTTCTCTCCACTCTACCTTACCTTCTCTCTTCTCTCTACCTCCCCTCTTTTTCTCTTTTTTCACTGTCAGTCTTTCATCTTCTCTGTCTC